AGAGAGAGAGAGAGAGAGAGAGAGAGAGAGAGAGAGAGAGAGAGAGAGAGATTTCTTTGAATACCATTGGGAAGCAAAAAATTTCCAACGGTATCTGATTGGCTATTATGAGAAATACAATGCCAAACTAAGATGAGCACAAGACAATTGTATTCATAAGCACAAATAAGCTGCAAGCTCAAATATTTCTCTGGAATCTCAAGTTCTTAGCTGACACAACAGTTAACATCTACCATTTCTGGAATACAGAACTGTAGTCTCTATAGTTAGTAAAATGTATATAATGTCTTTGGGAAAGGAAATGGCAAAAGATATTGACAAGGAGTCAGAAAGCTAAGACTTTAGTGCAATGAAGTCAAAGAAAAGGCAAGCACCACAAATGTCTAACTAATAACTCATATAAATGTAAGTGTTGAATTTGGCTTGAGGTCTAAAAGCACTTCTTTGCTGATAATACTGATAGCAAAGCTTGTTTTTCATTTCCATTTCACATCTTGGCACCATAGTTCTTCTAAAATAAGTAGAGGAGATTAGCAGCAGAACTGATAAGAAAGAACAAGCAGAGACATCACAAATAGTCATGTCTGATATAACAAACTAAGGACACAAGTGATGTGAAAGACAACTGTTTTAAATGAGGTCAAGAAATATACTGAGAAAAATTACATTGTGGTTCAAAATTATTCTGATATGTTTCTTTCATCCTACTTATCTTACTTCCCTATTTAACAAGCATAGTAATACTTATAACCTAACAGTTACACCCTGTAGTCTGGAGACAAAAGGAGTATTTTTTCTTCGCAGTACTGCCTGAGGCTAGAGTCTGGGGAGCTCAACCATCTTAAATTTCTAGCAACTAGTGCCAGAAACAACATTGATAAATAAGTCTGTAATCACATCTAAGCTATTATCCCAAATCAAACAGTATATTGCATACCCAATGCCATGCCAATGGAGAATCATAATTTGTTTTATTTCTAGAGGGATGTTGCTTGCACAGCTTACCACTGTCAACTCTCATATGAGAGATAATAATGTCCATTATTAGTTACTTCTCTTTTCCAAGAACAATACAATACTTTTGGAGTTCTAGCTTTATGCAGCAGAAAAAAAGAGGACTAAGACAGAAGTCACAGTGTCACATGACATATCAGGACATTTTTCCCCCTTTGCTAAACTGGGCGTGGCCAGTACATGATGCATCCGGCCCGGGGGCCAGGAGTTTGACAGCCCTGAATTAAGATCTAAGAAGTTTCTTTCTTCCCTCTAAGCTTCATACTTAAAACCAGTTACCCCAAGCTCACCTGCCTAGGTTTCCACCTGCAACAATATAAGGGCATGAACCTTGTTCTTCCTTTTCCTTGCTTCCCTGAATCTTGGCAGTTGCTTACAGTCCTGCTACAGTAGATCAACTGTGAAGCAAATCACCAAACTGAGAGGCATTTTAAGCAGGTTCTGGGGAATTCAACAAATAATTCTCATGTGTCAGACCATCTGTTCTGTCCTGTAAGTCCCTGTTTCTCTTCTTACTTTGGAAAAGTGTCACAGCGTCATTTGAATTGTTCCTAACAGCTGTAAAAGAATAGAATCAAGGATGTTGCTTCACAAATTCACAAAGGCATTATGAGAGTAATAAAGGAAATAGCATTAGGAGTAGCATCCTAGTCACAGATATTGCACATGTCCACTTATTTGAAAATGGAATAATAGGTTGCCTTAGTCACTTCTAAATTTTCTCTAAATTGATTCAAAACTTTCCTTATCTAGGCATCAGTTTTCAAATAATCTGTCACTCTTAATGTACTAAAAGTATATAGTATATTTAATACAAAATTTTGCTGATATGTACTAACGTACTGTAGCCCTGCGATTATTTCTAATTTGAGTCCACATTGTAGTCTTTTTATGTTTTTAGGACTGTAATCATCCTGATAAGAATTTTTGATTATCTCAGGAGGACACTAGCTAAATTCTTATGCAGTATTTTCATAAAAAATTAATCCATCTAATTTAAGTAATGAAGAATTAGAACTCTATATGTGTATTTGCAAACCCCTCAGGAATTCACCAGGAAAATTAACTGAGCTTAGATTAAGAATCTCTGTCTTTGTGATAATGGCAATGTTACAAAAAGCAGTTATTGTGCAATGCAAAAGCATACTTTAAACACACTATGGACTCCTGCTACTGACTTCCCTTGTTCATCTTTCAACATTCAGTGAAAATTTACTCTTTTTTGCTACCTGACTTACAAAGCAAAAGAAAGACTAATACCGGTCTAATACTATCTTCCCCCAACTTATAAATGCCATGTTTTCTAAATGTGCATTTAGCAAACCATTTTACACAGACTGATATTACAAACTGAATTCCTTGTTTTGTTTTCAAGTCTAAACAGTCTTGTGGTAATATACCCTTTGCCTTCTCTTCCAAATACACACATACCGGTATATACAGAGCCACTTACACATACATACTGAAATCAATAAGGACAAACTCATATTTTTGCATTTCAAAGTAAGGGTATCCACAGAGAAATTGAGAGGGGGTAGATTTGGGGTACTGCCACACAATGTATATACTCCTCCCAATCCCAATTTCAAATAGGTTATTTTCAGATACGGTACGTGGCCTGAGTTAGTTTAAGATGGAGGAATGCAAGATATGGTTTGGGGCTCCTTACCTTTTGCCCAGAGAGCAGGTGAAAGGTCCTTTCGGTGGGAACAAATGTAGTGTCTGAGAAATGCAATTGAAAAAGAGGGAGGCTTTTAACAAGAGCACTCCACCCTTATCAGCCAGCCTGGATGCTGGATGCCTGATTGGAGGAATGCCAGCAGGGAACAGCTTGGAATGCAAAGTTTTGTTGCTATTTTGGCAGGGTCAGCTACAGCCTCTTGTGCAATTCATCTCGCCCCCGCCCTGAGCCCATATAAGCACTGGCTATTGTATGGCCTCCGAGAATTGCTATTTTAAACTTGAGATACCCAAGTGCCCAAGAGTCTGACACAAGCCAGCCAGCTGTCATTCTCGAGTGGCCTGGAACTCTGATACAGAAGGTTTGGCTCTAGGAGAGCTCGGGGTATAAATCTGAAAAGCCAGGCTGTGAGTCCTAAGGCATGCTTTTGTTCTCCATTAAATGGGATGGCTACTGATGCGTTACTGCCTGAAAGGCCTTATTGGCAAGTAAGCTATTGTCCCTTTTTTAAAACAACAACAACAACAACAACAACAACAACAGTGTTGGGTGGTAGGAAACTATAAAACTTGAACCAGTCAGTTGGATTGGAAACCAAAGATTCCTTTAACTTCCTCAATTAACTCGTGACACTTGTAGCAATCTCTTATCTTTCACCTGTATCTAAAGTTCACTAGAAAGGAAATTCAGAAGAAAAGCATTGATATTCTGAATGAGCCTTCACTATAACACAGAGGACATAGCTTATTATTGAAGACCAATGGAGGAGTTCCCGACTGTTACCTCTAAAGGCCTATATTGCATATAATAGAATCTGTTTGAGGGGGTCACTTGTTTCCCATGTGATCATCTAGCAGGACCTAGGAGGCAGACCTTCTCTGCCACTGCACCTACCTTTAGAACAGCACCCTCCCCCACAAAAAAATTTGTATGGCTCACAACTTGCCCACCTTCAAGCAATCTTTAAAAACTGTCATCCCCCACCCCCAGGCCTTTAATTAGAATGTGTGGACATGGCCTTTAAATTGAAATCTGCTGTGGAAAGCTGTTAATTTATTCCATTTGGCAATCAAGATACTTTTTTTAAAAAACAAACTTTTGTGAAATTGCTGAAAGTCATTTTGGAGCTAGTCGGCCAGACACCTAAATCAATCAACCTTCTACTACTTATGAGATCTAACTTTTTGTTTCTGTCTCAAACTTGCTGAACTGTTTAGTTTCAGTTAGTGTTCTTTGAATGTTCACCAATAGGGAATGTTTTCCCACTGACTGCTGAAAAACAACTAAAAGTTAATGGATCAAATTTGTTAAAGGTAGTTAGACCAGGGGTCAGGTTCTTAGCACAACAGTTTTTATGAAACATTAGATAAAAAAAGCTGAAGAAGCTCCTTGGATGAGAAGCAAAATGTCTTCAAAGAAAAACCAGAATGTCTAGTTGCCTCTTGAAAAAGTGCCTTTGGGGCAACCATGACCTGAATGACTGAGAATCTCCGCAAACATTAGATAAAAATATTTTCACTTGGATGGCTGAGTGAAAGTGGGTCCAGCAAGATCTCAAAATTGAATGTAAGGCTAGATAGACATTGAATCTGGTCAGATTTAACAAGAAAAAAAAATCAGACAATAGATTAATACAATCGGAAGCAAAGTCTGTATATTGAAATAAATGATATTTATTATGATATTTATTATGAAAAGTGAAAGTCAAATTCAATCCCCACTACTGAATTTAAATAGTATATATGTATGGGTGACTTCTAAGTTGTTTAATTATGGCATGCTAATAGGTAGGACAGGTGTCAACCCATAGCCCTGATTCAGTTAAAATTAGCCATGACATTAGTTGCAATCAACTGTACATTTACCTGGGGATAAGACCTTTTGAATATATATAAGTATATATATGTATGCAAATCTTGCTAAAAACATGAAAATTCTTCCATTAGTCCTACTGAGTTTCAGTAATAGCTAGGACTGAGCTGAAACAGAAATATATATTATAAAAATATTCTTTAAATATAGAATGCATTTTACTATACAAAATATAACTCCTTGGCATTTTTTAGGGAGGGAAGAACATTACTTTTTTCATGGTTTTTGCAAAACAAGTTCATCCATATATTCAGGTACTGTCAGGCCTGCAGTTATTCCTTTTTAGGATCTTTGGCCTGCCACACTCTCTATTATTTCATTGTGCTGTTTCATAAGTGTAGTAGTTGGGAGGAGGAATATAAAGGAGTAGAATTGTGGAATGTGTTGTTGTCATTCTTTTCTAGAAGCCCAAGGTCATCTTTTGTCTCTGCACCTCTGCATCTGACCGCATCTGACCAGAACTAGATGGGTGGAAATGCCAGCATGGCTGAAGAAGATTGGACCATGTGATGGATTTATGGGTGTGGGGCAGAGGTGGGTTCCTACCAGTTTGCACCAGTTCGGTAGAACCGGTTCATCAAATCTACCAAACTGGTTAGAAGAGGTTCCACCAGTGGACCCAGAAAGCAGGCCACAACTGGGTGGAATTCCAGGAAGATTTTAGAATTAGGATTTCCACAGATGTGCCAACATGTCTGTCTTATTAAATTGGAACTTTAAGGATAGTTCTGCCTTGGACTCTGATTTAATTCTGTATGATATTTGGAACACTGACAGGTACATTGCCCCCTTCTTTTTCCCCACAATATGCAAATTAGAACATTCAGGTAAGTTTCTGTTACTTGCAGCATTCAGGTAAATTTTTGCTTTAAACCTCCTCATGGTTCTGATCAGTTTAGGGTTGAGCACAATTTCCCCATTAAAACATCCCTCTTTTATTCAAATAAGATAATTAGATAATAACAAGCTAAGCAAGAACAGGCAAAGCTACATTTAGGCAACAATTGCAATTGCTTGGTGCAAATGTAAGTATTCATCATGGTGGAAACATAGCTGAAATATGATCCAGTAAAGAAGCCATATGCATTTCATATTTGCTAATAGAACTTAATTTTGGTGAGGACTGATGATATAACAATAAAAAGAAAAAAATGTATTATAGAAATATAGTTTTTCTGTCATAGGTCAGTTTTCACATCCATCGAATCATTTAAGTCATCAAGAGCTCCATTCAATAAAAGGCACTGTAGGCATTGTCGGCTGATAGATATCTTTGCCAGGTGGTCAGTTCTGTATAAGAGTAGAGCAATAAACAGAGGGATATAGTAGAATTCCAAGAGATCTGTGACTTTTGTTTCAATGGAGGTAAGTTTTCCTGAGAGTAGCATGTCTTGTTACATCTAGAAGATAAAGGGAAACATTTGATGAATGCACAGTTTTCTACAAGGGAGAAGGAAGGTTGATCATTGAATCTGAATATACAAAACAAACTCAGATCCTTTAGCTGAAGGTCATTCAGTGGACTTCACAATAAATAGTGATTCAGGGTTTCCCAGTTCCTAACTGAAATTCTAAAATCAACACCATATTGGATTTTTAGATACATGTTCATAATGGAAATATTGGTGAACTTGATAACACTATTCTCTTTTAAATAATGATAAATTCACACATTAATTATAGTGTTACTAGTCTGGTTTCTCAACTGCTTGAGGTGAGAGATTAGTGACACTCTTGCAGAGATTTAAGGAATTAGTGGCAACTTTTTCAACCTCCAAATCTCCACCATTAAACACTGTGCTGGAATGACAATAGGGATTTTTGTAGTGTTACACTAAGAACAATGAGAAAGCAGATCAGAATACACCCTTTGTTATAAGGCAGAATCAGAATAATAGGAAATTTATATCCATTGGTTTAATCACAAAGAGATGAATAATTATATGTATTTATGATTTTATGTAACATAACTCTATGGGACGCAATATGGTTTACAAAATAAGGAGATATTTATAATAGAATTTATACGGGCTAATAATCTACCTAAAAGGGAGCCCACATATCTTTAGGCTTCAAACACTAACTTCATTTAAAGTTGTTATCAGATATGGTATCAACATACGGTGTTGAACAACATATTCCAATTTCATAAATCAGTTAGCAATAGCAGTTAGACTTATATACCACTTCATAGGGCTTTCAGCCCTCTCTAAGCGGTTTACAGAGTCAGCATATCGCCCCCACAGTCTGGGTCCTCATTTCACCCACCTCGGAAGGATGGAAGGCTGGGTCAACCTTGAGCTGGTGAAATTAGAACCGCTGAACTGCAGATAACAGTCAGCTGAAGTGGCCTGCACCCTAACCACTGCGCCACCTCGGCTCATTTCACTCCAGTTTCAGCATTTGGTGACTGCATCTTAAGTGTTAGCTTTCCAGGGCAGAAGATAATTCTAATGAATCCATATATGTCCAGTCATAGAATATCCAATTAACATCTTGTTTCACTGTTGTTTAATCCAGGGGTCCCCAACACTTTGGATTCCGCAGACTGGTGATGCCAGCTTTGATGGTTTTGGAGGTGGAGAGGGAATGGTTTTGCGTGCACAACCTCAATCCCACACCTGCAGAAATGAAGCTTTGCATGCTTGTCTGCAATTTTGGTAGCCCAGTTCCCAATGGGCCACACCCACTGGCAGTCTGTGGCCCAGAGCTTGGGGACTCTTGGTTTAGTAGTCCATTATTAGCAGAGTGATAATAATGTACGGATAATAAGCTAAAATATTCATAAAGCAGATTTGATATTGTTTCCACACATGTTGAGATATACTCAGGCCAAATCACTTTCATACTTGTCACATATCCGACAAGTCACTTTATGTCAACTCCTAACTCTTTTCATCCTTACCTTGGATTTCCTTCACAAACCATCAGATCAGTTTTCCAACTAACTGCCTTGTGTGGTGTTCCCAGTTCTCTGAATGTCCTGCAGAAAGATAAAACGTGGCCTCTTAAAAGATTCCCTGTGCAGATAACCCAAGCTAATATATGTAGTCTCTAATTTATTTAGTGACCCTTCAAAATTATGAAGGGACAAAACAAATGGTAATTACAACCTGTTCTTGGAGTTCCAGTCACCCCGGCACCCTTGTGGACTAGGTGCTTGGTAATTAGTTCATATTTTATGACAAGTTGCCTATGCTTATCATTTACACCCTTCTCTATCAGCTTCCCCAAAAAGTTAATGTGGAAGCTGATGGGGAAGGTCATAAGGTATGGGGATAGGTTTCATCCATCCATGGACACACCCTCCCCCCGTCACTCTGCATTCTAGACATGCACTGTGCCTGCCACTCATGCACCCCTGTATCCTCCCTGACCCTCCCTGGCATCCCTCACTTCCTCAAATACCCCCCTCCCCGATTGTCTCCATGCCTCCCTCACACCCTTGCACACTCCCTTCTTCTTACTACTCTTTTCTTCCTACTCTTTTCCATATCTTCCTCACACCTTTGCACTCTCCCTCATACCCTTCCCACCTGGCAGCAAACCTGCCTTACCTCTCTGCAAGCTGCCTGGGATTTGCAACTTCTCACTAGCCTCCCCACTTATTTGGTTGTGGGAATCCAGCAGGAGTTTGTCTTGCCTAACAACTATGGGATTTGGTTAACAAGGGCAACCAAGGATTGCAGCTCCTAAAGAGCGCAGTAACTCTTCACTCCGACATTGCTTATTAACAGAAATTCATAAATTGAGGGCTACGTCTATGGGATTTCCTGTTTAAGAGCTGGAAATCAGCTGGAGTAAATTGGAAGTCCTCTAGCTAATATAATGGGATAGTATTCTAATTCTTTAACTCTTGAGAGCAGAAAACAGACTTTCATTTTTAATGTCGGTCAGTGTGCTCACAGTAAACAAATGGCAATAAAAGTTATCTTAAATCTTAGCTTACTAAAGCCCTTCTCGTACCTTGTCTCCTTCATTCTTTTTGGATTCCTGAGTTCGACTTATCCAGAGATTTATTCGGGATGAGACTCCTCCTGGCATCCTCAAACTTTCCTAACCATAAGAGAATAGAAAGAATACTCAATTACACAGTGAGAATAATACACAACCTATTACTCTTTATAATATTGAGAAACTTAAGGTTCAATGTGACAGATAGTTAGCAAACATGAAAATGTAAATTAAAACACACCCTTGCAAACTGGTATCAGTACAGGCCAGCAGATTTTTCTCTTGTTCTTACAAACAAGAAAGAACTTGTTTGAATTCTAAGATCTAACTAACTAAGAACTACTGATCTTAAGAATATGATTTTAGAAATTTCTAAACAGATGCAACTTTTTACTTTCCCAGCAAAGAAAGGCTCTATGTTCACACCAGGGCAGATAAACCACAGAAATAAATTGTACAAAGTCATATTATGCAGTACTATAGTAAGAAAAGAAAATAATAACCATCCCTTTTCTGAATTTCGCTCCTGGTGATTATGTTGATGTTCCAAGTTATTTGCATGACACTAATATGGAACAATGTTTTCTATTGTCTTTCCCGCATATAGTCCTGGACTCTGCTGTAGTCTCCCATCATAAATTAACCAGGTTTGGCCTTGTTTAATGTTTTAGACAGTTGGCAACTAGATACTGCATTTTGTTCCAATCTGTTTAGATTGTTTACCCAGAGCCCTAATCATTTATTTTAAAAAATCAAAGGAATGGTCATAAGTCTACAGACAGGCAGAGCCTCAGTTGAAGTGCATCTATGTAGCTTCCAAAACAAGAGGCAAAAAATGACACATGAGGATGTAACTTGTATAACCATTTGAACTAATGTTTATGGAGAGATGAACATTTAAAAATACTGAGTTTATTTTAAATTGAAATTCATTACATCAGAACTGGTGAAGACCGAAGATGGGTTGCTCCTGGTTCGGCCCGGATCAGGCGAACCAGTAATAACAGCAGCAGGAGGCTCCACCTACCTGCCCAGGCACTCCTGCACATGCGCAAAAGCTTCTGAACATGCACAGCATTTTTGCGCGCGCACAGAAGCGGGAGCGTGCCCAAGCCAGTAGTAAAAAAATTGGCAACTCGCCACTGGTGAAGACCACGTGAAGGAATTTAGTTCTGGTCTCAGGAAAGAGGAGAGAAAATAGAAACTGAGTTGGACTTGGAATAGTGTCCTCCCCACCCCCTGACCATGTTTGCCCTAAAAATGTACAGTGAGTGAAGATTTTGAATTGACTTTCAAGATTTTTGTAAAAACATCCTGCAAACAGGGTTGCTAGAATTCTTGTAGTATCTATTTATTGACTTGTTGGTGGGCAACTTTAAAAATGGCCTCTTTTCTTGCAGTTCTTAATCTTTATATTGAATAGCTCATCTTGTCTAATTCACCTGACCACACCTTTCCTAGATATCTGATTCCTTCCGGCAATATGTTTCTGGGTAAGAATAGTTTTTACCTTACGGACAAGAGTGGGAAGCTCACTCTGGACAGGAATAGTGGCTTCAAAGATGCTACGTCTGCTGGCCACACCCTCCAAAGGTAGTTGGAAGTTTCTCCGAATAGGTGAAGACACTTTAATGGATCCTGACCTCTAGCAATAAGACAATACCAGAAGTTCAGCTTGCACAATCAGGAGAGAAACAATTTCTTTCTTGCTTAATAGCAGTATTATGTATTCATATTCCTCTTTCTTTGAGCTTTTAATCCACATATATGCCAAGAAGTTATGGCTAGGAACTCTTCGTGGTAAAGACTTATTTGTTCCTTTTAGTCACTTCATTTTGGAGATGTAGAAATGGCTGAACAACCACATTTTCTATTGCCATATTTACCTGGACAGCAGATGCATATCTCTCTAGCTTCTCCTCAAGTTTGACTGTGCTTGCTGGAAGCCTCATACTAGCACTAGTGAAGGAGATGCAAATAAAACAAAATTAATTTTCTAAGGCTCAGAAAGTATCAGTGGCTCTTACAATATTCACAGAGAACAATATTCACCAAGAAAAGCATTTATTGTTCTGATTAAACTTGCAAAGCAATCTAATCAGAGGTATCTGCAGGATATAGTCGATCAATTTACCAGGGTGGCTGTGATCAAATGTTGGCCTGTTTTTTAAAAAATGCAAATGCATCAGACAGATTAAACTAGGCAGAGCGTCAATTGAACTGTTATGATTACCATCTTGACTTGACCATATTCTGCAGATACCCCTGAATCTATTGTGATCTATCAGTATGTCAATTATCTAATGTATCCATATCTCTGTTTTCAAACAACTAACTCTTGTAAGCCTACTGTTCATTGTCTGAGGTCAGGGAATATTCACCTTACAAGGCTGACTGTGACCTTCTATAGCACTGAACCTTTTAGACACTAAGTGTCCAAACTGCACATATATGACCAAAATGCAAGGCGTGCATGCATGCATGTACAGCAGAGACCCGAAGACCAGCTGGCCGGCTGGAGATTGGCCATCCCAATATTGGCAGCTCTGCAAGAGGTGAGATCTTTTTCTTTTGTGAGCTTCTGTTTCATCATTTGCAAACAACTATGAGAAACACCATGGAGAAATACAGTAGAGCTGAGCTGGGGCAACAGCGTGTGTGCCCACAGAGAGGGCTCTGCATGCCACTTCTGGCATGTGTGCCATATGTTTGCCATCACGGCCCTACAGCCTGACAAAAGGTCTTCTGCCCAATTACTGCTCAAATGTTAAATTCCAGGTATGATAGACTACAACGTCAAATAAGCTTAACATTCATAGAGGCTGGAAACTATGGAACATTTAGTTCATCACATCTACACAATATCAGGTTGGAATAGTATGGAATCCCCAGCAACTTAACATTCTGAAGTTCCCATGGAGATATTGCAGCCTAGTATTGTTCCATGTCATATAATAAGATACTCTGTTTTCAATTGTTTAATATTTAGTTTGCAAGCATATTCTCACAGGACTCATAACTTAAGATGAACATTTAGCTGCTTCCAGAGTGGATCAAGACAGAGAAAGAGAATAAATACATAAAAGTCTGGACGTGGCTGAGTTCTTGTCATGGTCATCAGTTATAAAATGTAGGAGTTAAGCAAGGACTTGAAGTGTTCCATCAAAATCAAAAGTATATGAGCCTCAGTGGCACAGTGGCTAAAGTGCAGTACTGCAGGCTACTTCTGCTGACTGCTGGCTGCCTGCAATTTGGCAATTCAAATCCCACCAGGCTGAAGGTTGATTCAGCCTTCCATCCTTCTGAGGTGAATAAAATGAAGACCCAGATTGTTGGGGGCAATATGCTGACTCTGTAAACCGCTTAGAGAGGGCTGTAAAGCACTACAAAGAAGTATATAAGTCTAAGTGATATTGCTTTTGCTATATAACTTATATAATTTTTTCTCTGAATAAGATTCCAAATCACCCTATTATTTATATCAAAATTCTGTGTTCACTGATATAAGGGAATGTGTGGGTGAGACGAAGGCTCTAAGTACTACTTTACTACAGAAATCTTTATGGCAAGCTCCATTGTAATTTCAATTTTGAATCTAATTCATCTAATCCAATGTTAGTACTGAGTTTATAAAATGTCCAAACGTAGATAGATAAAAATCCATCAAACTGCTGAATTGATCTGAGTCTTTGATTTGACCGAATACCGTTTGATCAGAAGTTTTAAATAAAAACTGCACGGAGCCTACAGGAATATTTACAACCCAATTTGCAGCAGACTCTGCCTCCAGTGGCCTACGCAATAAGTGCAGCTCTTAAAACTGGTAAAAGAAGCATAATGTGTGCTAAAGAAAATTTAGGCATGTTCAATGCTCCCTCTAATTATTTTTCAGTGTGAGCAGAAAAGTATAGTGTTTGAGCAACATATTTTCATGCCTGAGCACCTGAATTTTTTTCACAGATGTCACCTAAGACAACAACGAAATCAGTATTATTTGAAACTCAAAGTTATGTTTATTCAAGGTACCCGCTTAATTAAAAGTGTTATATAATATCAGTATCACTTAACAACTCTCCTGCTTAGCAACCAAAATGTTGGCTCAGAAAGTCTGGCATTTGAAACACACAAGTCTTAAAGCTGTTGTTACAAGATCCTTGCACCCATAACCATTTAGGGGAAAAAACCAGGGGTCTTCAAACCTGACAGCTTTAAGATTTGTGGACTTCAACTCCCAGAATTCCTCCTCCAGTCATGTTGGCTCAGAAACTCTGGCATTGAAGCATGCAAGTCTTAAAGCTGTCAAGTTACAAGATCCTTGTACCCATACCCCTTTAGGGGGAAAAAACAGGGGTCTTCAAACCTCACAGCTTTAAGACTTGCAGACTTCAACTCCCAGAATTCCTCCTCCAGTCATGTTGCAGCAATGTCATCTGCGTGGATCTGCTCCATCTTCAGTTTTTTTCACAGGGGGCAGGGCCGCCGCTGAAGAAGCCAACAAGCCCCCGCCGCCACTAGAATAGCTGCTGCCGCCGCCTCCTCCTCCTCCAACAGCACCAACACATTTGCTGCCCAGCGCTGCAGCTGCGGTGAAGCCACCAAAGCTCCCGCTGGCACCCCCGCCCATGGCAGCGGTGCCTCCCTCTCTGCTCGGAATACCTCAGCTGGGCTCCGAGTTACTCCTGCCGCTGCCTCCACCTCTGTCGTGCTTTTGAGAATCCATGAGGCCTTTTTTATCCTGCTCCCGCTCCCTCCGCCGCCTTCCTATTAGCTCCCACAGCCTCATGGCTCCTCAAAAGCATGGCAGAGGAGGAAGGGGGAGGGATAACGCGGGGGCCAGCTCAGGTGCTCCACATGGAGGGAGAGGCACAACTGCCATGGGCAGGGGTGCTGACGGGAGCTTTGGCGGCTTCACCTCAGCCGCAGCGTCGGGCGGCAAATCCAGCAGTGCTGTTGGAGGAGGAGAAGGCGGCAGCAGATATTCCCCTCAGCTTCCGGAACCTGTGACAGAAATCACTGTGCGCAATTAGAAATGGCTGCATGGTGTTTTCTTGCCACGTGCACGGCCGCGCAGCTGCGCACCTTAGAGGGAACAGTGGGCATGTTGCAAATACAGAAGCTTCTTCCTTTAAACAAAGCATAATTAAAATTAAACAATAAAAGTAACAAAACATTTTCTATTGAAGCACATAGATCTACATTTATCGTTTGTTGTCCTTCTATCACAGGGGTGTCAAACTCGATTTCATTGAGGACCGCATCAGGGTTGTGTTTCAACTTAGGGGGCCAGAAGGGGGGGGGGGGCAGAGTAGGGATGGCTAGCTCAACGTCACTCCTGTTGGGGGTGCCTATGGTGGCCCAAGTGCTCTGCCATAGAAAATGGGCTCCTGAGCTCTGTTTACGGCTGCCACGGCCTCCTGCAACCCTCTGCCAGTGAAAACGAAGCTCCTGAGCTCCATTTTCTCCGGCAGAGGGTTGCAGGAGGCCATGGCAGCTGAAAATGGAGCTCAGGAGCCCGGTTCATTGGCAGAAGCATTGCAGACCAATCCTCTGTTTCCAGGGCAGCCCCATGGGCCAGATCAAAATATCCCACGGGCCGAATCCAGTCCCCGGGCCTTGAGTTTGACATCCCTGTTCTATCACAAAGATAGGGCAAGAATGCATACTCTACAAAGGAATTGCAGTGCTGTATTAATATCTACTTACCTTCTGCTTAATGCATCTTCTTGTCTTTCTTTCTTGGGAACAACCTTGAAGCAGAAGAAACAGAGGGGAAGATTCAGGCAAGAATTGTGCACGTTAAATAATTATGGGAAATAAAGGAAAATTTTAGCAAATATTGTTTCTCCCACCCAAACCCCAACCTAAAAAACTCTGTTGCAGGGGGCGCCAGAAATTTTAGCTGCAAAGAATAAATGGGTAGGTATAGGGAAGTCACATCACAACAGGGTCACAACTTCATGTGCAGGGGAGGTATGGATTAGATGTTGAAATGGCCTTCTTTGGTAAATATTTTGAAAGATTAAAAATCTCTGAAATATTAAGAATGGTCTGAAAGACTTCAGTTTCTCTGGTTTGGAAAATATTACTTGGTTCTCACATTTCACATTCTACCCCTATGAAGGTATCATCCTAACCTCAGATTCTTCAAAGGAAGATGAGAGTTCTACCACTGATCCTATCCTCAACACTATATGACTACTCAGCATCCTGATGTCCAGAACCCTCATAATTTTGAGTAGTGACACCATTTTGTCCTAAACATTGCTCCCAAAGTATGCTTATTTGAAGTTGGCCTGGAGAATAATCATGTTGGTTGTATTTAGTTTTAAGCTTAAATGTAGATAAAATACAATCAAAATCAATTTTGCTTTGGTTGTACATACTATATTTTGGGAGGTCAAAGATTAGCCCAGAGACATACAAAAGTTAGGTAACCTTACCCTCTGCAATTATCTGCACTTGATGTGTAAACATTTATCATAGTGGTAGTCGTGTAGCCTCATTGCCTTTGTGCAAGTAGAATATTGCTTGTGTCATTGCCATAGGGTCTAGATTTCATTTTTAAATACGGGACCTTTTCATAATTTGTAATAAATCCTTACCCGGAATGAGATTGTCCTTGGACTGATCCGGTTGAATGAGCTACTATAAGTAATCCGCGGTTCAGAAATTAATATAGGGGCATCAAAACCTTCTTGACCAGAGGGAGACCTTATAGTTTTAGCATTTGATTTGGGAATAGATTTTTCGGTGGCCTGAAAGAGAAACATGAATCAAAGAAGGACAAGCCGGAGGACTGAGAAAATAGCAATAGCACTTAGACTTATATCCCACTTTACAGTGCTTTTCAGTCTTCTCTAAGCAATTTACAGAGTCAGCATATTGGCCCCAACAATTTGGGTCCTTATTTTACCCACCTTGGAAGGATGGAAGGCTGAGTCAATCTTGAGCCTGGTGAAATTTTAACTGCCAAACTGCAGGCAGCTGGCAGTCAGCAGAAGTAGCCTGCAGTACTGCACTCTAACCACTGTGCCACCATGTGGCTATTCCACCACAAACATTTTTAGCAAAATTGGAAATAAATCTTTTTGAACCTATTATGCTACTGAGCACATCTATTTACATCTTACAACATATTTAACAAACAGTCTGATTACCTCTTCTAGGTTTTCTGAGAAAAAGTTACATATATCTACTAAGGTTTCATTGCAAAGTATAGAATATATAAATCCAGCTAGGCTATATATATAAAAAGAAAAAAAATGAAAATAATTGTAAATTATGAAAGCAAGAAAAAGGCAAAACAACTTCAGTGTTGCAACATGAAAAGCCTTTTTGGAAATGTTTTCTAAAAAGAAGTTGTAACCTTTGGGTGGAGGGAGGATAGTTTTAGCATTTCTGTAAAATACTTCCATACCCTTTAAAGCTTTTTAAGGCTTTTACAAACCTCCCCAAATTGTTGTTTTATTATATGTATTGCTAAATTGTGTATTATAATTTTATCCTGTGAGCAGCAGAGAGTAACACTGTTACCTGGGTCTTCTAAATATACTTATGATTAATGATTAATTGTATTAAATAAGCATGCACTAATAACAGACTGGATAATTTGATTTTTGATATCACTTCCACCAGAAGTCCCCAAACTTGGCAACTATGCTGGCTGGAGAATTCTGGGAGTTGAAGTCCACAAGTCTTAAAATTGCCAAGTTTGGGGGCCCCTGTCTTAAACCAATAGTAGACTGTTTTTTCTGGTGCTGAGCATCCTTGCACAATCTTGATCTATGGCAACTTTATGGCAAAATCAATAATCTTGTCATTATCTCCAAAGCTTAAATATGAGATTTTGATAATATCTGACATCCTTTAAAATCTTACAAGATTTTGAGATTGGATTTCTCTAACATAGGGGTAATAAGAAAGCTTCTTGTGACTTTAAGATGCTCTGTGTTACTTAATCCTGCCTTAGGCCATGTCTGCTCAGCTATTTCTTGATCCTTTAACCCTGCTGCTGAATGAAGCTGCCAACTTTGATATGAGTGATAATTCCATGTATCCAATTTACTCCCTATCTAATTTGCATCTTTGCCCAATTAACTTTTCATCAAACTTTCTCCGTCCTCGTAAAATACCAAGACTAAGTACCTGTGGTGCCTCAGAAGCAGGTGTGGTTACAGCAGGATCAGTAAACTTTCTAGCTCTTGGCTGAATTTTCACCTCAAGCCGGCTGATGCTTTTACGTTCGCAAGAAATTCGTTGAGGCTCCTGGGAAGCCACCTCATTCTGGGTCACAACCAGTCTCTGAGATTCACATATGCTTGGGACCTTCTCCTCCTCACTGAAGACCTGATCCTCATCTGTTTTGAGGTCCTTCTCCTGCTTCAGGGCTTCATGTTGCTCCAGTGTGATCTCCTCTTTTTTTGGACTCTGGATGTGATGGCTTTCTTCTATAGCATCCTTTTGCTGAATTAGGGTTTCACATTTTTCTGCTCTTCCCTCTTCTTTGGATGATTCTGGAGGAGATGCAGGATTCTCTTCAGGAGGTTCCTTTTCAAATTTCTTAGTACTCACTAGTATTTTCTTGTCTTGTTTTATGTTATTTAAAAACTCTGCTCTCCTCCACACTCTTCTGCCTTCCAGTTTATTTACTGCAACTGGTTCAGTCTTCTCGTTTTTCAGTGCTGAATTTTCCAAGTTAAGCAGCTTTGCCTCTAAGGAATTATTAACCCTAGGAAAAAGGAGGAAACATATGAACAGCACTAGATGGCACTAGAGGTTAAATTTTAGAAGAATTCATGATTCACACAGTTTACACAGGAATGAGATTTACAAACCAGGTTTTAAATAATTTAATAGGTCCTTCAGGGCTTTAATAGAGGTAGGATTGTATTCATATGACTTGATTATTTTGGAAATTTGAAGCATCTATTTTTATATAACAAAGATTAATAGAGATTAAATTAATAGAGGTATAGAGTCAAGATCACGTGACGTTCAAGCTTTACAAAGTCTTGGTAAGACCACTTGGACTATTGCATCCAGTTCTGATCACCACAATACAAAAAAGTTGTTGAGACTCTAGAAAGAGTGTAGAGAAGAGCAAAAAAAAAATGATTAGGGATCTGGAGGCTAAAACATATGAAGAACATTTACAGGAATTGGGTATGTCTAGTCTAATGAAGGACAGCACTGATACTTTGGCTTAGAAATGGAGATGAGAACCACCCCTAGAGCCAGAAATGACTAGCATACATGTGTGGGGGAACCTTTACTTAGTCTAATGAAAAGAAGGACTAGGAAGGACATAATAGCACTGTTCCAATATCTGAGGGGCTTCTACAAAAATGAAGGGTCAAATTATTTTCCAAAGCACCAAAGGCAAGGCAAGAAACAATGATTGGAAGCTAACCAAGGAAAGAAGCAATCTAGAACTAAAAAGAAATTTCTTAATGGCAAAAGTAATTAAGCAATGGAACAGCTTGCCTTCAGAAGTTGTGGGTGCTCCATCACTGGAGGCTTTCAAAAAGAGACCGAACAACCATTTTTCTGACATAATATAGGGTCCCCTGCTTGAGCAGGGGATTGGCCTAGAAAACCTCCAAGGTCCCTTCCAACTCTGTTGTTTTATGTTCTATGTTCTAGATCAGTGTTTCTCAACCTTGGCGACTTTATGTCCTGTGGATTTCAACTCCCAGAATCCCCCAGCCAGCACAGATTGAGAAACACTGTTCTAGATGATGACAATTCAGATTTTGTTTTCAAAGTTTGATACAGAAATGTTAAGTAAAGAAAATTTCTATCTTTATCTTCTTTGTAGACAGCTTGCATGCACTGTACACATCATGCAAAGAGAAACATAAAATGAAGGTCCATGACTAGAATGAAAAAGGTGCTGTTGAAAGTGACCAGGGAATAATTCTCCTACCAGAGTCATGATGGAATGCATTCTAATTGGAACAAAGCCCAAGTAATACTGCTTCATAAAAACAATAATAACTAGAATGAGGAAAATGAGGTTCACATTTCATTTTTAAAATGCACATGGCGCCAAGACGTTTTTTTTATCATTTTCTGCAACTTTTAAAAAGCAACGCACAGGCACTCTATAAGCTTCCTCTCTGCACCTCCTGAAGCATAACAGTATGACCATCATTCTAAAAAGTGCTGATGAAGGAAAGATCTTTTGCTGCCAAAAAAAAAAAAAAAGCTGAGCGTGGAGTGTTTTAAGGATTGTAAAAAACTGAAAGGGATCTCTATTGTGTGAACTGTTTAAAAAGAACTATGGTCTCTATTTATCCCCCTGTGATCTGGCAAATATTACTGTGAAATTTCTGAGTTTTCTTCATATAATATGAATTTGGCAAGAGAGCCATAACTAAATTATGCCAACCTCTTCAGTTTAAATTTCTGACTAAATAAATAAATAAATAAAGTCAAATGATTGGAAAGTTTTGTATTGAAAATTCTTGATAGTCACCAACAACCAACAGCAACTATTTGTAGTTAGACAATCTATTCTGTACTCAATATAATGATCTTAGTTGATGTGGCATCATAGAACAGAAAAAAAGTTCAAATAATCCTATCCTGCATTAATATATACATTCTCTCTATTCCTTCACAAATTATCTATCAACATAGATTGGAATCTACTCCTCCATTCATGAAAGTTAAAGGAATTTGTCAATTCTCATTCTGTCTTCACCTCTCTGTACACATACACATTATTCCCCAAAGAAACTCAGAGTTTTGAAGAGGCCTGTAGAGTTAGAAAAGGGAAAAGATATGGAAACATGAATTTGAGTTTTCTTATGGGGAGGGTGGAGTGTTAGGTCCAAAGCATAATCTGGTTCCATTTAATCTATACCTATCTCCCTAAATCTCAATCCCTATTCTTCGTAAAATAATATTAATTCAAACAAACAGCAAGTCATTGTCTCTTTTCAAAATCATTAGAACTGGCTTCAATTTCCAAGCAATTTGCACAAGTAAATAAGTCTGTTCCACAACAGCTCAATCTTCAAATACAAATACCTGTTTGATGTCGGACGGGTCGCATTCTGTACTTTGCTGGAGGATTCCTCCGCCTTTGTTTCAGAGGTGGAACTCAGTTGCCTATGTCTTCGCCTGCGCTCTCTCTCCTGCTCCTCTCCATCCTCAACAGACCATTGTTGAGCCAGGCTGGAGGGGGAAAAAATGGGGGATGAGGGTCAAGAAAAGTATAGGAAGAAAAGAGGCTATCAGAACACAATGATTTTTATCATACTTCATGAAACTATGCAACATCGACACTCACTCAGTGGTGGGATTCAACTGGTGAAACAATCGATTCGCTGAGTGCATGCTTTGCACACACACATGCCAAATGTGTGCTCTGCGCATGCACAGTGCATTTGAAAACAGCTCTAAAACTTACCTTCTACTGCAGCCCTGGTGAATTGAACAGCTGAGGCACACCAATCAGCTCTCCCGTGCCTATCAACTGGGCTTCAAAAAAAAAATCTAAGACAGATTAGCGCAGTGGTGGGTGGGCGGGTCAAGTGATTGCCGGAACTACCGGTTTGCGTAAACCAGTCCCAACCGGATGAATCCCACCACTGCACTAACTCACCCAGAGTTATATGTATCTGAAATAAGATGAGCTGATCATCTTTCAGGACTTTCCTCCAATCCTAGGGATTGTTTTTAAAAGTCTTGATGTACAAGTGTGTAGTGTGTTTATGTTTGTTTTCACCTAAAATATTGGAGAAGAAAAAACCAAGGCGAGTAATGACATATTTTTAACCTTTCAATTGTCTCAAGTAGGTATCAGAACAGACTCTTATGAAAAGTACCTGTTTATCTTCCGTATGCATTTGAAATTGTGTCTTTAAGTAGAGAATGTCATTTTTAAACCTGTGCCAAGGCTTGTTTGTATAAGGAAATTGTACATCAGTCTAAAGAACCACAACTACAAGAAAGGAAATTAGGATGCATGAATAACTTAGAATAGCTGAGCCCCCGCCATATACTATTGTGATACCAGCTTTCTGAATACTCTGAGTGGAACAGAACCAATGCAGGAGATGAGTGAAAATGAAGAATCCTATATTTATTCAGGCTGAGGATATTGTGTTGTTTTTATCCTATGAGTTCAAAGAATGGCCTCTACCAAAACCTCCAGCTTCACAGATGTATTAGACTGAGAAATCAGAGGAGTAACTTTAAATACTTCAATCAGAGTCTTCAGAAAGGGTGGAGTTGATTGTACTACCAATTGTGACTTTCAGCATAAAACATCAGCTGGATTTAGCTAATTGCTCCTATTGTTTTTACAATAGGGAAGTAAGAACAGGGGTGGGTTGCTGCTGGCATTACTGCCAGTTCAGTGCGTCAAAAATTTTGTGTGTGCACGCATTTGCAAATAAAAAGGTCTGCGCATGCGCAAAACCTTAAAAAATGGGGAAAAATTGCTCTGAAAATTGCTCTGCCCATGCGCAGAACCAAAAAACAAGAGGGCGGCCTAATAGAACTGGTTTGGGGGTGTGACAGGCCTGGGTCGCTGCCGGTTCCAGTGACCCAGGCCACCAAGTTACTACTGGTTCGGCCGAACCAGTCTGAACCAGTAGGAATCCACCTCTGGGTGAGAAGCTTACTTGGAATGATCCATATTTCTGGTTTCTCTATCCTTTACCTCAGAGGATAATTTTCTTGATTTAGTCTGATGCAGCTGCAGTGCTTTGATTAGATTCCATCTCTTTGAACCAACTTCATCTGCTGCCTAGACTTGATTTTCTCCATCAAACCAGGCCTAATCAGATGCCACTGGCTACAGGGGAAGACATACACCTAGTTTTTATCTCATATTTCACCAACCTACCCCCAAATTCTCATGTTTTGCTGGATATCTGACTCATAATTAACATAAAGAAAATAATACCAAATATCTCAAACATGTTGTCTCAGAGCATACTCCCATCTGATGATTTTCTTAATGGGAAGGTATTGCAATACCTCCATGTATGGATGGGACTTTAGAAGCATTTCCTGCTCTTCTTGTTTATGTGTTAGCACCCTATCAGTGGTCTGACATGTTAGTCCCAGGAAAACCATGATAATGACATTGTGTAGATTTATTACAGCAATACTGTATGGCAGTACTGTATGGCAGGAGCTTATTCTTCAGTCACCTACAATAAGGGAGGGAGGGAAGGCCAAGCAATGCTAACCTGAGCATGGGCATCAGTTGTCATCATAAGCACATCTGATACTGTGGCAGCAGTGCAAAAGCAGTCCAGGTTTTTCATATGTTTGGTAGCTCTTCTATCTCTGATGAAGGTCCAAGTCTAATCCATGGCATTGGAGCTGCCTAGTTTCTTGGCATTCATGAAAGTTGCCATTCAGGGATTGCTATCACAAGGTTGCTAGTTAATCATTATCACAGCAGATATTCCTCTGCATTTTTACTTTCAGTAAAAAGCTTAGCCATTATGTTTTTCACTCAAAGAAATGGCTATATAAATGCAGAATCAAAGGAGATAGACATAGGAGAAATATTTTGAAGGGAGGGGAAAAGGGCATGTTGAAACCTCTGGCACTGAACTTTAAATCATATTAGCACTGCTGGTGGCAATTCAAGACATGGCACCAACCTGCTCTCAATATACAGTACTTGAGGTTCTCTGTCATTTATGACTCATAGATTTTCCTCTTTCATTATTTTTGAATCAACAAAAGACAGCCCCACCCTCCTTAACAATAATCCTATTTTTCAAGTACTGTATTGCCTTACTAGTGTGATGTCATGATCTGATCAAACTGATTACCATTGTTTCAAATAGTTCTAACCTTTGTTTGTTCTCCTTTTTCCCCCATTGTCCACCTTCTTCTGAAATTATTCTAGGTAATGCTTAGATGTGTTGAGCTGAAAAACAGTGTTACTGGCTTGACTAAGTTATCCATCACTGCAGTTGGAGAGTCTGATCTCCAAATTGCACGGAACCCAGCTGTGTTTTTTTGATACTGTTTTCTGGCAGATTCTTTCACACTCAGGTTTCTTTTCGCTGTCATCGCCTGGATTAAAAGAAACCTTGCCATCGGCAGATCTGTATTTAATACATTTCTAAGAGTGCTGTACACAAGAAACCACTTAGGCTCCTGACATCAGTGTGGAGCCTGAATGAGTAATCAAAGTCCAACAAATAGCATTCCTGTTACATCATTTATGTATGCTTAAAATCAAGCAACATGTTGGTTAATTGGCATTTGTTTGCACTGTCAGCAATTCCCTCTAGTGTCCTTCAAGCAAGTTCTCATACTCTTCTTCTTAATTGTTATTTGGTAATTGGGAAGACTTAGCACTGTGCAGAGCACTAAAAAAAGACAGAGGCATTGAATGTTAGCTAACATCAAAACTACAAGCAATTCAACTAATAAAAGATAGATCCCAGACACAGGTGGGCTACAACCAGTTTAACAACCAGCTTGGTGATCACACAAGTGCCTAATGCGCTTGTGTGCAGCATTCAAAATACAGCCATTTGAAGCTCAGCTGCTTACCTTCTAAGGCAGCCCCAGTAAGTAGAATAGCAATAGCAATAGCAGTAGACTTATATACCGCTTCATAGGCCTTTCAGGCCTCTCTAAG